GTCACCGAAGAGATACTCTAGAGAGCAATTTTCTTGCACAAGTTTGGCCGTTGCATTGATTGAAGATCTTTGGTGCTTTTACTGAAGGGCTGAACAATGCAACTTGTAGCCATTGGGAGTCGATCGTTGGATCACTCCGGTGCTCACGGGAGTTATCGGGTGCTCCTGTTTTTAGTGCAAAGAGTTGGCAACAACTAGGTTTGTGTAGAGGTATAAATAGGTGGTGTGCTCAGGTATTTCACCCATCCTAGACCCCTTGGTTGATTCCTACACACATTGGAGCTTGAGATAACCACTCCACTTACTTTGGTTACTTGAGGTCGTATTTGGGCGAGATAAGGCATGATAGTGCATTTGCATTGAAAGTTTGCATCTAGTAACACTAGTTGAGCATGTTCATTGCAGAGTTCTTGTTACTCTTGTCGGTTGCCAGCTCATTGACGACATGGAGGCTGTAGACACCGAGAGCACCGCTTGGAGATTGTGGGGGGTCTCTGATGAAGGATTGTGAGGGGTTCTTCTGCTTGTCCTCATGGGAGACCGCGAAGAGCAACTCTAGTGGGTTTTTGGTAGTAGGTGTACCTTGTGATCAATTGAGTTTGCTCATTGGCATGCTAGGCTTGTGGAGGAGCGGCGATCCTTGGACATATGCCACAACAGGGAATGTAGGTTGCCGACAAGCAACCGAAACCTCAGGAAAAATTATCGTATCTACTTATCCCCTTTGTTTTGCACCTCACTACACTTGTGCTTTTATTTGATCTTATGCCTGTGCAGTTGCTAGAAGTAACTACCTAATTGAGTAGCTATTGATACTTCTTAACGACTAGTGGAGGAATTCCGTAAGCACACAGAACTATCGCGTAGCACTTCGCTCGGTGAGAATCGAGTATCGAATTTATATTTTTCCCATAGGAAGGCGAAAGGCTAAATTTATATTTTTAGTTAGGATTGCTAAGGTAAAGCCTAAGTGTATCCCAGGTAGGTGAACGATAATGGTGGGTTATGTGTGAACTACCTAAACAAACTAAATAAACAAGCTACACTAGAAATAGTTAGGTGGAAGAGCGAGCCATATATCTTTTAGTAACAAAGGGTAAACAAATGACTATGAAAATGTGCTAATACTTCGGGACACAGCCCGCCTACCAACTAGGAGAGTTAAATAAACAAGATCTACCACGAGCCCTACGATTTTAATAACTAGACCTAACGTGATGGAATACAGAGGATGGACAAGGCTGTCATCACTTGCCAACTACCACAATCTATCCGGAGGCCTAGCTATATCCATAGGTAATCTATAGCCTAAGCACCTCGCTTAATCTATAGGCTTACTACTTCAATCCGAGCACCGATAAAATTAGATCAAAGTACCCTAACCAGACGGTGGAACCGGAACTAACGAAAGACTACTAATTAAAAGATAACCTATGCTACTAATGCCAAGTAACAAGCACCTAAGTTCACTAATGATGAACAATAATGAACTAGAACTTGAACTAAGTAGAGCAATAATACTAAATAAAGTACTAAAGGTAAAGTACTGAATAAAGTAAATGCAAAATGAAAGAATTATAAAGGAGCTATACCAGACCCAGAAGACTCTTCTAGACTCCGAGAGAAGCTCCGCTCTTGCTCTACTTCCACTACTAGACTACTACTCTAAAGCTAAGCTAAACTAGAAAGCTTAGAGAAGCTTGGATAGATTGGAAATGAATGGGGCACTTCTCCACCGAGCTCCACACCCCATATTTATAGTGTAGAGTGACAGGGGGTACTTGTAGGCAGCCAGGAGGTCGGTGGAGCACCTAGGGCACCGGGCGGCGGCATAGGGGCGCCGAGCGACCCTTAGATGCACTACCTCTGCATCGTAAAGCCTTGGATGCTCCTCAATGGTGGTTGTGAAGCCAGCACGTGCCAAGTTTTGGGCAGGAAGTCGATTTGGAGGTCAATTAGGAGCCTCCAAGCCTATGACGGTGGGCCGTGGATCCACGGCCACTCCATCTTGTCCTTCGATACAAACCGACTTGAATGGACGCTTGAGAATGCTTCTGGAGCAGCTCCCACGGATCGGTGACTGTTGGTATTTTTTAGACGGATACAGATAAATCCACAAGCGCACGAATACCGTTGTAGCTTTCACTAGAAATATTCTAAGGTATCATATTTATCCATAGGGAAACAATGGTTAAAGAAGTTGATAGTTCACCATCATATATCTACTAGCTAGTATACTAACTAAACTAAAGTAGGGGTAAGTGTTGTTTATGATAAGAGTTATGAATAATAACACACACATAAGAGAATTCCATAAATGAGCAATCTAGCTAAATTGAGAGGACAACGGATGAGTTCAAGGTTCCTAAATACTTCTCTATTACTTTGGTTCTATAGGGTATAACTAAATCATGGGTAAATATAGCGATCATACACAATAACACTTTAAAGCAACAGTACATTTTCAACTCTCGAGGGGGATGAGAAAGCGTAGTTGGGGAAAGGCTGCCTAAAGCTCTACGAACATCAATCCTAACGTGATGGATTACAACGACTGACAGAGCTGTCACCCCTAGGGCTACCACAAGTAACCGTATGATTGAGTGCAATCTCAGGTAACATATAGTCTAGACACCATGTCAATACTATGGATTACTACTCTAGTCACATATGATAACTAGAGCACTCGATGCGAGCAAAGATCCCATGCTAAGATATGATAACTATATTAACCATACACATGAAAGGCATAAATGTAAATAGAGAAGATAACTATATTAAAGCATAAGTCTTACAAAGGTAAGATACAAAGATATACCCGTCCTCTAAAAATTTTCCAGAACATGAGCATGGCTCAACTTTCCCTAACTCTCAACTAGAGCTATTGTCTTGTGGTGTATCTTAATCTGAATGAGAGATGGCTCTCTATGGGATGATGGCCTCTTAGAGGGGGTAGAGGTCTCCTTATATAGGAGAGATAGAGTAGGGGGCAAGGCACTACCACGTCATCGATCCGCATCAACTCTCTCGATCACCGTTGAATAAATTGACTTAAAACCACCTTAAAATTAACGGTGTCGATCTTAAAACGCATACGGCACCCCCACTGGGCCGGCCGGCCTGCACTTTGTCAAGTGGGCCTACCCTTCGTATGGTGGGTCCTAGACTCCATCTTGAGTTGCCTTTTGTTGTTTTCACGAGTTGAATCACTTGTTATCATCGGTTTGCTTATTTGGAGTGTATGACAGTAGTCCCAGGGCTATTTTCTAGATAAATTCTCCTATATATAAATATTCACCAAAACTTGTGGAATCCATTAGTTTAAAACCATATACCTATGTTTGGTGATAGAATTAAATATATATGTATGATATGTTGATGGTTTATGATTGAGATTAACAACCGTCAACAAGTTCCCTAAGCTTACCCTTTGCCAATCCCTAAACAAAGTTAAACTTAAACAATGGATCAAAAGTTGCTACAATACTTTCATGCCTCAAAAGTACGCATAAGTTCAATCAGAAATTCTCCTTCAAATTAGAATAAACTGATCTAACTTTCAAACTTACCCATATTACCTTCAACCATAAGGCTTCTTAGCCTTCACTTGAGTCTTGAGCAATTGAAAGACATAACAATCAAGTAAAGCACTATGTCTCAAGTTCTTTGTTCCATCATTGTTTTGGAGTTTTTATAAGTTTTTAAAATAAAACTCAGAGATTCATTTATATGACACTCTCAAGTCTCTTAAAATATATGGTATTTATGATCCTCGCCAAGGCATAATTTGTTGTTGTCTTTTCTCTTTTTACCACTAAGGCAATGTGAAATTCATATGTAGAGAAAAAACTAGAACATACTTGCAATACATATATTGTAAAGTCAAACAAGAGATCTAAACAGAGATGAGTCATACAATGAAATCAAGATGTATATGTGTGTGGATAAATCTGTTGTGGATATATATAGTGGAAACCTATTTTTACTATGCTCCTTGACACATTTCTCTCTTAAAACTTAAAAATATTTTGCAAGAGAACATGAGATATCTTTATTCATCTTTCTTTTTTTTTCTTTCTTTTTCAGTCGGACATTTAAGTACCCATTGTTTTAAATATTTCGAACATCTTTATGTCCATTTTTCTCAACTATTTTTTTATTTTTTTATGAATAACTTTTGCATAGCCCATGCCTCTTTTCTGCAACAAAAACTTTGAGAGATAGAAAAAAAATTTAGAGCATTTATTTAGTGGATGGAAAACCTATCAAGCATGTTTTTGTGTTCACCCCAAGTATAGGAGTTAAACATTTTTGGTAGATCTAAATGAAATGACATGCTTTTGCAGCTACCCCTAGTGTAATAGTGCATATTTGGGTGTTGTGTACATGATCTTGATTTTAAGAGCATGACAAACCTCTCATAAAAGTCAACAAAGCTTGACAAAATTCAATACAAAACAAGTAGCATATAAATAAAAGTTTTCCTAGCCTAAATAACATATATGACTCGAGTAGGAATTCAAGCTTTATCATATAGGAACTCATCATGTACCATTTTTGTGTTTTTCCAAAAGTAAATCTCCAGAATTTTGGTATCACTTTGAAACTAGATAAATAGCAGCTCAGATCATCTAATATCATATCTATCAACCACCTAGACTTAGATCAAGCATTCGCCACCCACGAGTATCAAATTCAAAGTAATTTCTTATATCAAATCAAGTCTATCCAATACTCGAGAGAATTTTAGACTGAAAACTAGACACTTGAAAGAAATTACAATAGAACAACTATTTATCATGTCCATCAAAAGTTTATTGAGGAGAAAGTCTTAAACTCTCAACTATATTTATTCTATTGGTACTAAGCATACACACTTTTTTTATCTTATTGCCAGAATTAAAATAAAGTGAAAAGATACTTACCTAGATAATTGGAGATGCTCCTCCCCCAAGCTGGTTTATTCATGGGGATGTATCTCTCCTAAACTGGCTTTTGATTTATTTTGTTTTTATAAGTTTTATGATTTTTTTATTTTTGGGGAAGCTTTTATCGTTGCTATTTCCTTCAAAGATTTCTGTTCTTATGATCAGTTTTAACATGTAAGGTGCATCAACAACTCTGTACCCAGGCTTAGCTCTTTCAACACATGCTTTCCATATGTAGAGAACCTTTCCTTCTTCTAAATATTGTTTAAACTGAGGCATCACTTCTGGAGGTGCCTTGCAGTACATCGCACAACCCTGTAATTTGTAACATTTAAAGATAAGTACTTAGGGAAACAATAGGTTTGCAGAAAAAATGGTGAGATAGAACATTTCTATAAAAATTGCTGATAGAGTATGCAGTTATACCTTTTGATCGATGACCACCATATCAAAATGGATCAGAGGATTTTTTCACTTTTGCCCCTATATTCCCAAGTCCTTGACACCCTGACATGAATATTGTACAGAGTGTTTATGGGACGGACCTCTGATAATGGAGTTATTTTGCCCTGCAATTTGGTTAGTGAAAATTCTTAATATCTGTTGAATTTGGATAGCAGTAAAAACAATAATGTAGGTGGAGACATTACCTGCATTGTTAGTTGAACAATGCAAGGAAACCTGCAGGGGGGGTAAAAAGGAATAGGTTAAAACATAATAGTTAATGCATAATAGTTAATGTAAAGAAGTATAATAGAAACAATTAGGTCGAACCAAAAAATTGTACATTTTAGACCATGTTCAGTATTTCTTTATATACTATATTTGTAGTTTTATTTCCACACGTTCCGTCTTCATGTTCTATCAATATTTTTAGCCCTTGTCTATCCTTTACTCGAGATACCGCAACATATAGTTGGCCATGAGTGAATACTGGTTTTCTTAGGTACACTCCTACATTGGATACTGTTTGTCCTTGGCTTTTGTTTATTGTCATAGAATAGCAAATTTTGATTGGGAATTGTCAACGACATAGAACGAATGGCCAACGACAACCTTGCGTGGTAAGATGTATTCTAGGTATATAGACCTTTTGTCCGATCTGTGTTCCTGTTATAATTATTGCCTCTACGACGTCTTGTCCAAGATTTGTTACTATTAATCTTGCTCCATTGCACAATCCTATGCTTTGGTTAAGATTTCGTAGGAGCATAACAGGTACTCCTATTTTTAATTTTAGTTTATGGGTTGAGAAATTGTTTGCACTTAGATTGTTTAAATATTCGATAGGGTATAATATATCAGCATCGTTACAAGTATCTGTGCATTTGGATATTGAGTCTGCACTGTAGTATTCAACTTCGTTTCCAGGTAATAAATTAAGCATGTACTCATTTATTTCATCAACTATTTCATTTGTCATCGCTAATATTGCTTTATTTTTTAGATACTCGGGATCGCTGTAGTTTGATCTAAAATCAGGGAATGTTGACTCTACAAGAGCATCTATCTTATTCTCTGCTTGTTTTATCAATAAATCATCTGGGATTTCAACTTCAATGCATTCTGAAAGATCATTTGTGTCAGATGTAGAGTTATTTTCTGTGCTTCCATTTCCTATACTTAGTATCCATTGGCTGAATTCATTTAATTGTTTGTACTATGATATGTTTGCCTCAATTTTTTTCAATCGCATGTTTTCATGTAAGTAAAGCTTTTTTGTGTATTTCCATAGATATGAGCGAAATATGGAGGCATTAATTATTTGTGCTCTTGTAGAGTTGTAGCATTTTCGATTACTGGTAATATTTGTTTTGGGTCTCCTCCTAGTACTACAACGTTTCCTCCAAATGGTACATCTTGTAATTTTGGTTCTTTTTCAGAATTTATATCTCTAAGTGATCTATCAAGAGCCTCAAAGCATTGCTTATTTGTCATTAGCGCTTCATCCCAAATGATGAGATCTGTGTTAAGAATGAGGTCTGCTAATTTTGTTCCTCTTTTGATATCGCAGATTGAAAGTTCATCCACATCTATAGGAATTTGAAATCTTGAATGTGCAGTGCGTCCATTTGGAAGTAGCAAAGATGCAACTCGTGATGAAGCAACTGTAAGTACAATCTTTCTTTGTGCTCTTAAATATGCGATTATAGTGTTCCATAGGAATGTTTTCCCTGTTCCACCATGACCAATGACAAAAAAAATATTTGGCTCTTTATTTAGAACAGAATTTATTATGGAATGAAATGCAATTCTTTGGTCATTATTTAGTTGCTGGTAAAGTTTATTGATTCTACTTCTAACTCATTGCAATCATAGCTTAGTTCTTCCTGAATTAACTGGTTGTTTACATCAGTTTTGTACTGTGATGACTTCTGTGGAAGGTTATAGTTGTACATGTAAATTCCATTCTTTGAAAATATTTCTTCCAGCTCTTGTAGTAGCATGTCGTGTAGTTCCATATTTGTTGGAGTGTATATAATTGGGTGATATTTAATAATGAGATAACATTGAATGTCATCGGTCATTTTCCTCCAATTTTCGTTATAAAATTTTCGTTCATCTTGTAAGTTGCAAAATAATAGCATGGTGAAAAATAGGCATCGCAGTTGTGCTGCAGTTGCCCAATTCGCAGCCTCAGTAAATGTATCATATCATTCTTTGTCATCTTTGAGGAGTCCACGTGCTGCACATGCTTCCTTGAATGTTTGATAGACTGTTCCATTATATGTTCTTATATCTTTGTAGCTTTGTGCTCCTTTGAGTATCATAAGCAGCATCCGTAGATAGAAACGCTCTCCTTCTATTGGATTTACATAGTATAGTCTACCAATCTTAAAATCTCTGTGTCTTTTTGTCCACTTTCTATTTTTATCATCCCATTTCCATTCGTGGAAATTCACAATATGTCAGTTTCCTTGCGTCTTCATACAGATTATTAGCTTCGACCTCTGTTAATTTCATTCTTTGGAATTTTGGATCTTTAGCAATTGTTTTCAGCTTTGTTCCTTTGCGCAATGGCACCATGTTTTGTAATGGTAAATGTACAGGCAGTCTTTCTACTGGTGGCCAATGGTAATGTATGTCATATTCTAATAATCTCCAAAGAGCATCTTGTTCACATATATATCCACAATCTAGGTACTCTTTAATTTCATCTATATCTTTAACTTGTTCACTTGAACCTTCGTGTTCTCCTTTTCTTATGCATTGGAATGTGAACGATGCTTGGTCAGGTACTTTGTTAACATATTTGCATAGATATTTTAACAATTTACTTTTGTTTACATATTCTATGTTTATATGTGCTTGGTACTTTTTAAGCAGTTTTATATTGTACGGAACTACCCATCTATTATCTAAGTTATGATTTTCTCTTCAGATATACATATTGGTATCTTGTCTACGATATAGAGTGAATCCATTATCTGTGAATGTGGTCTCTTCTGTAAAATCTTTTGGATAAAATTTTGAGCATTTTCCCTTTTTTCATGCAAGGACATTTATCATTTTTGTCACCACATGGCCCATGCATCATATGTTCAGATACAAGGACATAAGCTAAAGGATCATCTTCTGGATTAGGAATCTCAGCTGATATCCATGAGTCTATTACTTCAGCGTTGATGACCAAATTTTTTTTATCTATCCATAATATGATGTGAACATGGGGCAATCCTCTTTTTTGGAATTCGATTGAATATAAGATAGCTAATATTGGACCAAATAGTTGGCCAGACCAAATATCCTCTATCAATTCTCTAAGTTTCATATGGAATACTCGTATTATAATATCTGGTCTATCACTGGGTTGTTCACCATGTCTTAGGGTATGAACTATTTCTTGCCATTTTGGATTACATGTAAATGTTATGAAAAGGTCAGGAGGTCCGTATACACGACAAATAGCGATGTCATCATGGTAATTTTGTATAGCATGGCGTTTAGAACCTGTGTGACTTGATGGTAGTAACGTTTTTTTACCAACCTGATTACTTTCAGTTAATCCTTTTTCTATGGCATCAAAAACTCCTTGTAAGTACTCGACTCTTAATTTGTCCTGGTTTCTAGCAATATATGCCAATCTATCTTCATCCTCCATTGCCCTAGCGTCTACTATGGCTTGTTTGGATAGTCTACCATAGCATAAAAATGGATTTGGTTGATTTGGTCTATAGTGCATGTGGTATTTATAATATTCATGCATTGTAACAGTATTCCTTTTTCTATCTTTGCTTTTGTACATTTCATTCTCATGATATGGTATCCCAAGTTGGAATCCTCTTTCACCGTAGGGGAAAAGTAGTGGATATTGTAGAGCCATATATGCTGGATGGAAAATAGTTATATGTTGAAGGCCTTTGCTTCTACTACTAACGATAATATCTCTCTTGTATTTTTCTAGATTCAGATCACCAACTATTAGCATTGCTAAATCTTCAGTGTGTGGCATCTCATATTGGGCCTGTTCGCTGGTTGGGGCTGGTGCTGGTTTGGGCTGGCTGGTCTTGGTTTTTTTAGAGGAAAACACTATTGGCTGACTGGTTTGGGCTGGCTGAAACCAACAAGCGAACAGGCTGATTGTATTGGATCTCCTTTTTGAGCACCTACTATATGTATGCTTACATCTATTCCATTATGTTCTTCTAGTAAATCACGAGCATGGCGAAATATTTTTACCAATGGGTTACATTTGTCAAGCATATTTTTAAGCTCTTGTACTATATTTGGATCTATATCTTTTTCTTGAGGGTCTTCTTTGTGTAACGCTTTTATTCTATTTTCGATTTCGTTTTTTGTATCAAAAACATATAGTTCAGCATATTGTGGTGGTTGACCTTGTTCTGGAAGTAATGATCCTATACGGTGATGTATCTATCCATTGATACGGAATATATATGGTCCTTTCTCCTTTGTTAATGTCTTTTATTATATTTGCTCCCATTGAGGTGAATGCAAAGAGGCTATTGTATTGTCTTATTCTTTGTAAGAAATGTTTTGATTCTGTGCTTTTTCTATCGTTAATTAACTGTGACAGAAATTCAGGAGGGCCTTTATATGGTGGTATCTTTATTTTTCCATTTTTACAACAGTTTGCGTATATAACTTGTCTACTGCGTCGGCTCTCTGTTTGGTTACGTTCATTGTACCAGAATATAGCTCCACAGTGTTTACACTGGTAATTTGGTTCACCTAAATATGATCGTTTATCATATGATTCTTTTAAGTGTTGAATATATTCTGGTGTATATGACACCATGGCTTGATTAGAAGTAATTTGCGAGCATATTTTCTTTGAATTGTTTTTTCTTCATGAGGTTCATTGTTTTGTTTCCTTTTCTTTATCTGGAGTGATGATATTTTTTCTTCCCTGATCTTTTCAGAATGTGGCTGAATATCTATAGGAGCAACAGGTTGGTCCTTTCTCTTTGTACGGACCATATGGGGCTGAGAATTTAGCAATGTCTATATTTATTTATGTGTGTGTGTGTGTGTTTGCAGCTATAGAGTATATAGATATTTCAGCTAAATATATTTGTGTAGGATTATATTCCAGTATATATATAGATAGATATACGTACACAGGAATGTACACACAAAAAAGATATTGTTTTGATTTATTTTTTATATTTACAACTGAAAAAAAGGTAGGATA